CCGAGAACAAACAGGACACCTTTTGGAACAAAAGGTGGTTAAACAAAAAATAGAGCCGGGCATTTCCTTGTTTTTGAATTTACTTGCTTCTCTCCCGTTCCTTTCATAGGTTAGTCGAGACTTGAGCAGGCAGTTTCTCCACCTTCCATCTCCCGTGTTCTGGAAGACCAGGACTCTCCCAACTTCTGCCTCGTCTTTTGGCGGGTTTCGGCGGCCTGCCTTTTTCAAGGACTCTTCCCACACTCCTTTAACACATAAGGCATCTATGTTGGCGCGCCTACACTAAAAGAAAAGTCCTACTCCAAGTGCATAAAGAGCATACACTTACTTGGGGGATGCTCCTGTTCCAAGTGACAGGTGCTCCCCACGCATCCCGGTATAGAAAGAAGGAAACGAACTCCAGAGGTGCTTTTCGCTGGAATCTGCAAAGTGAGCCGCCCCGACGCCCCAGAGGAATGTATGTGGGGAGGGGTGGGGGGGTGGTAAATATGGTGCAGACGTGAGGATCCCTACTTTACTGAAAAAACGTATAGGGTGGCTTTAATGCCCTGCAAAATGGAATAATCCAGAGAATAGACAATTCCTCTGGAAAACGGGATAAACTGCGTGCAAAACGATTCTTTTTTGCTTCAGATAGGAATGCACTGAAGGTTAAAATCTACACCACCTGGGACTCGTGGTCTATCAGATCTACTACTTCCGCTACAGAAATGCTTCTCTAAAGGGCGGGATGTGCATTTTCTATCCTGGATTGCCTCCAAGCAGGGAATTTGGAATTGGCCTCGGTTGGAGGCAGCGGCCGCCCCGTGAGTTCACCTCTCTGGATTAGAGCTCCGACAATTGAGCACCCTGATATCTGATCTGCGGGATCTGATTTCTGAAATAACAGATGTTCGAGCCTGCCTGCCTACCTGACTTCGACTTACGTGCTCAGAGATCCGGGGCAGCCAGATAATCATTTTATTTCAAATAGTAAGAGACACTTTGATAATGTCCCCTTTCTTTCCTTTTCTCTGCCTCTTTCACACAAACTTCCCTTCTCACTTGAAAGTTAGGGACAGCTTGAAGAGATTTCCTTCTTTCCATACCAGAGGGATGATTCCCTTATTTTCTCTCTCAATACAAAAACAAAAATTTGAAGGAACTAGCTCAATGGCGGAAGCAGAGAATAATGACGAACAGGTGGCCAATCAAATACAAACCTCTTCGGAAGTGGAGTAGTTTACATTTTAATTTATATTAATTTATTTAAATTTTAATTAATTGTTGAATCGGATCTGTAGCTCATGGGCTGGATTGCACATTCTCCCCACCACTTTCTCCCCAGGCCTAACTATTTCATTTCACAGCTTCATTTTTTTTCCTTAGATTTTTTTTTATCTCCAGGAATGCAAAACAGAGGGGATCTCTCTTCCTTTTATCTCACAACAATCCTCCGAGATTGAAAGAGGAAGAGAGTGACAGGCCTCTAGTGAATTTTGTGACTGAGCTTTTGGGTGGTCTTGGGTGGACTGGAATAGATTTACCTGAAACTTGTCCAGATGCGATTCTAGCTATAAACCTATGAAGGCTTACTTTGAGTGGAGGGCAGTTCCAGGAGACAGCCAGTTTGGACTAGAGACTGTGGGTTCTAGTTCTGCCTTAGGCACAAAAGATGATCTTGGGCCAGCCCCTCCTCTCTCTCAGCCCTAGGGAGCAGGCAGTGGCAAATCATTCTGAAATTTTGCCAAGAAAACTGCAGAGACTAGTCCAGGCAGAAGAAAAACCAGGCAAAATCATTCAAAGAAGTGAATTTAAAAACATTTCCCTTTTTGTCAAATGGTGTTCCTATGGCATATGTCACTACAGAAGTTGTCTATAAAGGTATTTCTAAATTATGTTGGAAATGTGAGCAATAGGTGCATTTTATCATGTTTGGTGGGCATGTAAAAACCAGAATGTTTTGGAGGCAGATATAGTCATTAATACAGAAGATCTTAAAAGCCACTTGAAACCATATATCTTTCTTTTGGGGTTGATGAACAGAGAGTTGGAATAAAAGTAATAAAACTTTGTTTTTATGTATGATAACCACAGTAATATTATTATATACTCAAAAGTGGAAATACTTAGCACTATCTGGTGGAAATGGAACAGTTGGGGAAGATGATGGAAATTGCAGAGATAGCCAGGCTGTCATGATTAGAAAAAAAAAGACAACATATATGTTGATTGCTGAATTGGAAATCCCTTATAGACTTTTTCATGGAACAGAAGAAAATGATTGTATGATTTATGGCTTTGACTATTAGAAAAAAGAGGTACCGGTAATAGAGGGAAAAGGGAGCTTTGTCTTATTGTAACCATCGAGAAAAAGATAATTTTGTACTTGTACTTATATTTACAACTAAAACTAAAAGATCAGTAATCTACTTTTTTTCATTCTTTCTTTTTCTATCCTTTTTTTTAAAGTCCTTATTAGCTTTTATCTCCCCGTCCAAAAAAACTCTTAATAAAAAAAAAACAATAATATGAAATAAAATCCTTTGCCTCCCGGAACGTCCTGAGGAAAGGAATGATGGCAGAGATCTAGGCTGAGCAAGATCACGGTGAGGGCAGAAAACCCCCTGCCCCGCCCCCCTTATTGGCTGCCCTTCGCCCAACCTTTGGCATCCCGTTGTTGGGTTGGGCTGCAACCTTAAGCACTCAAAGCGTCATTTGGACCCGTTTCCCACCGTTGGGCAAAAGTCCTGCCGAACTTTGGAGGGGATTCGAGCGCAGCCTCGCTTGGAAACACTCCTTTCCGGAAGACGTGTAGGTAGAAAATGTGCTCCCGTGACATGTTGATCCTATTCCCAGAGCAAATAAATGGCCTCGCTCAATGAAAGAGGCTCGTTTGGTTAGAAAACAGGCGACCTGAAATTAGAAGCTCAATTTGCCCCCCCAGGGGGCTCATTTCGCAACCTCTCCCCTACAACAATTCCAATGGCAGTTGGACTGATTGAATATTAACTCAACTGTAACACAAGGCAACTCAAGTACCGGTATCATTGGTGTGTGTGTGTGTGTGTGTGTAGCGGGGGGCGGCGGCAGAGAAGGCTTGCGGAGCATCCCCGGAAGAGGCAGCCCATGAGGCGCTTAGGATCGGGGCGAAATAAAAGGGTTGCCCATTCAAGCCTTAGAACCACCGGCCATAACACACTAATGAGCAACCTCAACGGGCCTTTTGAGGCAACATGGGAAAGAGTACAAATACGGCTCCAACTTTGGACTCGGCTGTGTCCTTTTGAACTGAGGTCTGTGTGGCGTCTTACTTCTTGCAGCTGGAGTTATGATGCCGCCTTTCTTTGGCAGCGAGGTTTTCATACTGCGGGATGTGGTGGTCCTTTGGAGGGCGTTAGAAAAGGGGACATTAGACTCTCATGGTTGCTGGAGGAGCATCAGCCAAGGACAGCCAACGGCTGACGTTCAGGAGTTAGCGGGCTGCGCTACGCCACGGGGGCCTGAGCCCGTATTTCTGAAGACAAGAGCACTTCAACGGAAATGAAGGGACAACACAACAGACGTCCTTCTTCTCTCTCTCTCTTTCTTTTAATTATTCTCATTATTTTAAAAATGTGAACAGCGGGTCACTTTTTTTTCTTTTGCAACCAAATAATAAATATTATTTAGGAACTTTTCCATTTCTTTATTTTATAGATATAGATATATATATATAAAAATAAACAGGCGATTCAAAAAAAATCTCTCGAAGGTGACAGAGCTAAGAAGGGGAGAGGGAGGGGGGGGACCTTTATTCAGAAAGAAGCCCTGAAGGGCGGGGTGGGGGGTGGGGTCTAAATATGGCAGCGCAAGCCAATCTTCATGTCTCCCTCCAGCTCCCCTTTTTTCCTTTTAACCCCTATGCTCGAGCAAGAAAAGGAAGTGTTGCCGTGGCTTCTAAAAGGGGGGGGAAAGGACCTTAATCCATAGGCCCACCCACTCAGGAAACTGTAAAGGACCACCCCCCTTTGCTCCCGTCTGGAGAATGCGTCGAGGAATGCCACCCCTTAACCCTCGGAGGCCACCCCAGATGCGGGGACTTCGCTTTCTTTTGGTTTCCTCGTATTTGCTGCTCCAAATATAACACGGCGACCCTAAAGGCCTTGGGCTCTTAAATAAGCCACAGCTTTTAGGCAACGCCTGCGACCGGCTATCCAGCACCTGACTCACTTTGGAATAGACTTTCCAAAGTTGGGACTGAAGATCGAAGGCTAAAATGGCTCGCGCCCAAGACCGGCCGCTTTTCTTTCTGAGTAGGCTAACAGGGTCGTTTTGTTCCTGAACGTCCTACAAATCTATATTGTGTTGAGGCTGAAAGCCATTTACTCTGAAATCAGTGGGGTATATATTTCCATATAAAGAATCTCGAACCGGTGCTACGTTTATATCGTTCCAAGGACCCCTCGCTTAGGGAACCTCCCGATTCCTGGGCGGATTCCCTCCGCGAACTCTGGCCCCAAAAGGTTTCCCAGTTGCAACCAAACTGTAGATCAAGTAGTTACGTCGGCCGGCAAATCCGCCCCCTCTGCTTTTGAAAAGGGGCAAAAAACAAAACAAAAAACAAAAACACCACTTCAAGGTGGGAAGAAACGATCAATGTGGGTCCCTATCTTGGAAGGCGAGCGTTTAACCCAGGTCCGCGTCCTTCCCGTCTTTACAAAGAAGAGAAAGCAAAGAACCCCGACTCTCCCTTCCAACCGCCGCCTCGCTTGCTGCGTTTCTCCCCCCCTAGAAGGAGAAGGACGGCCTCCTTTCTCCGAAGGGCCTTGAGCGTCCTTGGGGGCTTTGGATTCGCTCTCTCGGAAAGTCCTGGAGGAAACCTACCTTGGGCTGGGTGGGCGTGCGCAAGTCCTGGCCGGCGATTTCCTCTCCCCAAGGGTTCACCCCCCGCTCTCGGTTGCCTGCTCTCCTCTCCCCTCCCTCCCTCCTTCCTTCCCTCCTTCCCTCCTTCCCTCCTTCCTTCCCGCCGCGCCGCCTTTTTATTTGGCGTCGCCGGTCAGTCTGGGCAGGTTGGGCGCGTTCAGGCCGGAGACGTGGTGGTGCGACGGGACCGGCACCTGGCACATGCTGCAGGGACACGGCATCCCGCCCCAGTGCTGGAAGCCGCTGCTTAGCGGAGCCGCGGCGGCGGCGGCGGCTGCAGCGGCGGCGGCGGCGGCCGCGGCCGCAGCGCTCGGCGGAGACTTGAGCAAGCCGTGCGAGGAGGGTCGGAGAGAGCCGACGGCCGACAGCCCCGCGGAGCCCGGCAGGGAAGCGCTGGAGACGGCGGCCGGGGAGTGCAAGATGGGGTGGTGCACGGCGTGGGAAGCCGGGTGAGTCGGCAGAGGCGCGGCGGCGTGGCCCACCAGGCTCCCCGAGCAAGCGGCGGCGGCGGCGGCGGCGGCGGGGTGGAAGCCGCTGGCGTGGTGGCCGCCGCCGTAGATCTCGCTGAGCAGGCGCTTCATCTCCTCGAGCGAGTTGCTGAGCATCAGGATGTAGTTGCGCGCCAGGAGGAGGGTGGCGATCTTGGAGAGCTTGCGCACCGAAGGGCCGTGCGCGTAAGGCATGACCTCCCGCAGCCCGTCCATGGCGATGTTCAGGTCGTGCATCCGCTTGCGCTCCCGGCTGTTGATCTTCAGGCGCAGCTGCTGCAGCTCCGGCTCCGTCATTTGCTTCTTGTCCTTCTTGGACGCCGAGGAAGAGGAGGAGGAGGAAGAGGAGGAAGAAGAGGAGGAGGAGGAGGGCGACTTGAAAGCCAGCTTGTCCACCACCACCACCCCGGCGGCGCTCATGGCGCTGCGCAGCTCCGCGCTCAGCTCGGCCGGGCAATCGCTGGGCGTCGAACTGGAGACGGCGCCGCCGGCCGAGAAGCCTCCCCCGCCGCTCTTGCTCCTGGCCGACACGAAGAGCTCATCGGGCTCCGGAGACGAAGGGCGGCTCGACACCAGGCTCGCGTCCGAGTCCATGCTGGCCCGCCGCCCCGGCCGCCTGCGGAGGAAAGAGAGAGAGAGAGAGAGAAAGACACAAGCGGCGTCAGGCAAGGGAGCAGCCCAGGCGGCTGGCGGCAGAGCTGCCTAAGGATCGCGGTCGGGGCTTTCGGTCGAGGGCTGAAGCCCCGAACCAGAACCCGAAGAGGTGAGCCCGGATTCCCGCGGGCTTGCTGGCAAACGCGGGGAAAGCCAGGCGCCGGTCCTGCAAATGTGCAGCTCGTCTGAATGACGGAAAGTTAAAGCCCGGGGACTTCAGGGGGATTTAGAGTTCAGGTTTAATTTAGTTGGCTTGTGGCCAATATGTTGGCTAAAAAGCATTTTTTTTTAATCGCCATTATTTGTTTGTAAAGCCTGAAAGAACGACCTGTTCTTGTATTCTGGCTCTCAGATCTGTGTGTCTAAATCACGAACCATAAATATCCACGAAAATAACCTCCTTCCTGCCCCATTTCCAGCATTATGGAAAAAACCTAATTAAAAAAATAAAAATAAAACTGAGAAACCGGGCCCTCGTCGTGATTCTGCTGCAGTTTAATGGACGGTTCCAAGAAACGGTTCAACTGCTTTGAGGATCACACGGCAGTTTCCTATTTGAAATCTCAGTCCACCTTCTTGTTTTCTCCTTTAGCGCCAGCAGAAACTTAAAATAAATAAATAACCCGGCCTTGCTTTGCCTTTCTCCCGCCAAACACCAGAGCGCCACCCCTACCCCAATTCACCCCAATTAGAGGTGAAAGGGGCAGCCTGAAAACAAACTTTTGACAACGTTTTTTTTACATGGTTGGACAAAACTGTGCTGGATTTTCCTCCTCGAACTGCGTTTATGTCCCGTTTAAATTTGCTCTCTATTGTTTCCATCGATTTAGGCCCACCTACTTTCACAGATCGTGTCAAAGTATTTCTTTTAAAAATAAAAATCAAACGACCCAAATAAACCGCCGGGCGGTTTAGGATTTACTCCCTGTTCTAGAGGAGTTTTATCACTGGCCAGCCCTCCTCAGCCAACTACGCTGGCGCCCTCTCTACTCCTCTCTCGTCCGAAATAACCCTCTGCCAGGCGGCTGCAAAGAAAACCTTCTCCTTAGCATCCCTCCAAACAAGATTCCTTCTCCAAAAAGTTCCCTAGAACAAGGGGAATATTTCCTCGTGGCGTATTAGATCTCCTCTGGCTCTTCTTTTTCTCAGTGCCCTGAATCAAATGAAGTGGTGCCGGAACTACAACGCCCATCCTCTTTCTCGGGGAACAGAGAAAGGTGATGAGGGATAGGTCTGGCGAGCGCTACCAGGAAGTCTGGCGAGGAAAGAAAAAAAGCAAAACCACCCACCGCTCCCGCCTGACTCTGGGACCGGCTAAGCTCATCTGCGCAGCCCGGGGATGAGGTTTGAGTGTGCGGCGCGACAGTGAAGCAGCCGGCAAGTGAACGGCACGGAGGACTTACAGTTCGGAGCGGGTCTTCCCTGGCCAGCCGTATCCGCTCCAGTTGAGCTGCGGGCTGCCCCCAAATACCCTTAATAAGAAGCACCTTTCCGTCTCCGGCGCGCCTTTTTATAGCCACGTTGCTCAGCCGAGCAGCTAAAGGACAATGAATATTGTCCTGGACGGGCGGCTGCACCAATGAGCGAACTGCTGCGGGGCTGGGGGGAGCGGGAGGGGGGAGGAGGAGGAGGAGGGGGCCCAGATTGACGTCACGCCGCCGAATTCCGCTCAATGAAACGGCTTCGGACACACGCCTTCCTCGCCCTCCCAGCCAATAAGGGAGCAAGATCGGGGCCCCGGAGACAGAAGGAGAGGTTTGTGTGTATGCGCGCGCGCGCGTGTGTGTTCTCGAATAAAATGCTGCAATGACAGCACCCGCAACAGCTGGTGGGGGGGAAAGAGGAGTCCAAACACCGCCTCGGACCCGACAAAACAATCCCATTTGGGGAGCAGTGCGGAGCCTCTGGCTCTCCTCCACTTTGGCTGGAGAATTTGAATAGGGGTCTCCGCCACTTTGGAACTTCACGCCCGCCCTTCTCCCCGCCCGCCCAATGTAAACACTCACGGGCTACAATGCGACACTATCCCGCACTTACCGAGCCACTTATCTCCGGCCCGGGTGAGCCCCCTTTGCCCCGGAGACCCATCCATATCCCTTGCAGACAACGAGAGGGAACTGCCGTGCTCAAAGGACACTCTGCTCTGTTCGGGTATTTTCCCACGTCGTTGTAGTTGTGCTTTTAAACAGACGAACCCAAGACAGAAGCCTGATGATGGCAGATGAGATGCTGCCGAAACGTTGCTACAACTTTAAAAGCACAACTACAATGAGTGGGAAAATAGCCGAATAAAGCAGAATACCATATACATATACATATACATATACATATACATATACATATACATATACATATACATATACATATACATATACACATACACATACACATACAGATAGATAGATAGATAGATAGATAGATAGATAGAGATAGATAGACAGATAGACAGACAGACAGACAGACAGAGAGACTGTCTGTCTGTCTGTTAAGGCAATTAGGAATTAGGAAAACTAGTCCTTAGGAAGAGCGTCCTCGCTTTTGAAACGATGGAAATCCATTTCAGACAGCACAAACTTGGGACCGTGGCCTGAAGCTGGAACTTCTGCTTTTTTAACGAAATGCGCTGAGCCGCGAAAGCGCTTTTGCCGGCCTTTCCGATTTCGCCGCTGGCGGAGAGATTTCGGCGCGCTCAATCGGAATCCAGGCACGGCGGCCCGTTTCCTCCGACGCGTTGAGCCCGGAAAATGGGCTTTCTGCAACTAGCTGCCGAAGGGAAAAGAAATTCCTTCCGCGGTGGGCGGCCTGGCGCGGAAGAGCAGAGACAGTTACTGGGCAGAGAGTTGACTCTCTTTGGAACCAACTGTGGCCCTGTCTCTTTTTTGTTACAGCACCCTACCGGCTTTTTTCCAGCTGGCTCGGGAAGTCCCAGCAATTTGCTTCAATATCTTTTTTTTTCCAACCGTTTGAAGTGAGGCGTGAAGAATGTTTATTTCTTTTTGAACGGTTCTTATGATGATCCACGACGGGAACAATCAGGCTAAAACCTGGAGGTAACAAGCGTATCCTGGACTCCCGTTGGCCCCCTTTTGCCAGCTCTCGCCAAGAACTTGGAGCCAAAGTAAGCTGGAGAAAAGGGGCTTAAGACTATGACGGCGGATAAGGATTTGTCCCCTGAAAACCTTCCAGAATCCCCAAACGGTTCTGCGGAGATCCTGGCGGGCACTGCTCAGTCAATGGGCGCGACTCCGCCAACTTGGAGCACTTTAGCCGCATGGGCTGCCTCGCCTCTGACTCTTCCGATAAACCTTTGAAATTCCCATCAAGTCCAATCGGTAGTGCCAGGTTGATGGCAGGTAAAGAAGTCTTGCACCTCAGCCTACCTCCTCTTACACCTTCGCTCTGGATGGGAAGGAGCTGCCGAAAGGCAAGCTTTTCTCTTGAAAAGTCGGAGCCCAGGCTTAATTCTGCTGTCTCAATCAGGCTGTCCTCAGGACGCCGTAAAAAACCCATTATACAGAAGAATTGAGATTACATGGCTTTAGATCCTAGCCTTTGTTTAACTGGATTATGAATCGTTTTACCCCATCCTTTCTCACGCACATTCTTCAGTTCCTCCCTAAATTCTATAGACACATATTGGTTCTACATGCTTGTAGGGCTGAAGCATTAATATACACCAGCTCATCATTAGAGGAATCCAGTCAAATCGCAATGCTACTCAACCTGCTAACTTTATTAGTAAAAAAAAACAAGGTCATGTAAAGTTCCATCAATCTTTTCCTTGCAATGGCCAGCCATTGACTATGGGAAGCCCACCAAGAAAAAAAAACACCACACCATTCTAATGTTCATTGACAATTGAATAGAGAGGCTTGTTCTTGCAAACCCTGAAATTAATATATGCCCATCACAACCATTAGCAATAGCCTGATTTTCCATGAGTCTGCCTTATTTTCGGGTAAAGTTGCCCAAATACCTGACCTCTTGTGCTAGCATATTCCATAAATTGCAAATCACTATTTATATTCATTTCTTAATTGCTGTGAGAAGCAGAGAAAAATTATCTCTCGTCTTTTTCATCACACCGGGCACCTCTCACAAATAAACAAATAAATAAATAAATAAATAAATAAAGTGTCTACATTACAGTGATACCATAGTCACACATGCAGTAAATCCCTTCCCACTAGCCTTTTTTCTGTGTAACTGTTCCTCACTAGAAGCTGTAAGCGTCTTGCCCTTTTAATCAATTTGTTCTTCTGATTGATTCCTACTTCTACAATATTCTTCTTGAGATATGGTGGTCAACTCTATACAGTATAAACACAGTAGCTCCAGCACAAGTATACAAAGTCCAGTTTTTTACTAAACTGTCTCATAACCAATCCAATATCTTTTCTTCCTGATCACATTTTCTTGACAAGATGTTTTGGAAGAGGTTTGCCATTATCTGCTTCCTAGGGCGGGAAGAGAGGGATTGTCCCGAGGCCACTCAGCTGGCTTTGTGCCTAAGGTGAGAATAAAACTCAGCCTGGTGCCTTAGCCATGCACCAAACTTGCTCCTAATCAATATAAACCAGAAATTAAGATTTCACAGAGGTTTCCATCTCAGATCACATCAGCATATATTTGAAATGAAAAGTATGTTAAGAGCAACACCTTCTTTGTGCACACATAATCCCAATTCCTCTATCTGAGAGGCATCCAGTTGTTAAAAAGCAAAAGTTATGCTTTATGGGATACCCAGATCTCATGTAGATAAAAAAAAAGATAGAGGGTGGATTTTAAATGAATAAATGCAGAGTTTGTACTGAAGCCAAATAAGAGAAAACACTCTTATAAGTCTTATTTAAAAAACCCTTTAGTGTAAGTTTTTTTACTGTAAAAATGAGCTGTCAGCTACTTTTTCTTACTTCTTACTTCTTCCCAAGTCTGAGGAG